ATTACAGCTTCCTCTCTCTCTCTCTAACCCTCATGGCTTCCTCTCTCTCTCTAACCCTCATGGCTTCCTCTCTCTCTCTAACCCTCAGGGCTTCCTCTCTCTCTCTCTAACCATCACGGCTTCCTCTCCCTCTAACCATCACGGCTTCCTCTCTCCCTCTAACCATCATGGCTTCCTCTTCCTCTCTCGTAATTAATAATTAGTAATTAATAGTGTAATTAGTAATTAACAGTGTAATTAGTAATTAATAGTGTACTTAATAAACAATAGTGTAATTGGTAATTAGTAATTAATAGTTTAATTAATAATAAATCATATAATAAAAATAGACAACATAATTTTTAGTGGTATAATAGTAGTATTTTTGTCCGATAGGTGGCGCTTTTTAGCATGGCTATGTGGGCAGTTAAACATTTGTGCATCAATCCTTGATATAAGGAAAGTCTGTGCATCAGTGGGTGATACACAGAAATCTGTGCATCACTTCGTGATATAAGGTGCCTAAAGTGGATTTGCACCGACTTATGCTAGTCGCACACTATCCGATTTTGCACTGTGCACAGCACGAACGCCCCGCACACTATCCGACCCGATCCCAATCGATCGGGAGGCCACCGCACACTGTCCGACTCAAAGTTGACGCAAACCATGGCACTCTCGTAGCGTTCCAAGCGGATTTAGCGTGTACTAAGCATCGGGAGTGTTTCCCATGGTTCGAATGCCATTCCATTCGAATGCGGTTCCCATGGCTCAGCTCTGTGATTGGTCAATTTTCTTCAGCGCTCGTCGATCGGGTCGGATGGCCACGCACACTATCCGAGTCGCGTCGTAAGCCCTCGCACACTATCCGACCCGATCTGCTCCCGATTCAAAATTCGAATCGGGCCAAAATGACCTCCCGAGCCAATCTTAAGTCTCCCGAGCCAAACTAGAACATCTCAATCCAATCGTAAGCCTTCAAATCGCGCTCGGGTCGGATAGTGTGCGGCTAGCATTAGACCCTCTCACTGTCTCAGCGGCAGTGCCAGTGGATTGGACAAATGTTCTTGGGCAGTAGCCTACATCGAAAGAAAACGTTACACTTCTGGGCTAGAGAAAATTAATTAGCCCTAGGCAGATATTATATCCTCATAACATCATAAAGATAAGTTTTTAAAGTCCAATAGACTATATCGTGGACGGGGAGAGACAAAGTTAATGCAATAGACAGATCAACACTGCGGATTGCAGTGTAAAGCTCTTATATTTTGCAATTAACCAAAGGGGAAGGAAGAGAATTCCAATATATGGGATGACAGAAACGAAGAAGCTGGGCTTAAAGAGATCCTTTGAAGGCGGTACATGTAAAAAGTAATGATCACGCTCGAATGATCTAGTGCTACGAATAGGCTAAAATTCAGCACGAGGGAAATCAATGTGGGAATACTTCGTGCTATGATAATACATAAATAGGATTTTAGATAAGAATATTTCATTCAAATATTATCATGTAGCAGAATAGAATTATAGGTCTCACAATATATAACCGTTTCTTGGAGCTAGAGCAATTAAACAAAATTCCTAAACCAGTCAAATAAACACTTCTTGTGTGCAGCACTTGTAACCTTCAAATAGTAGGCCTACAATCATGCGACCATTGTTGTATTATTACCCAAAATAGCCACGGCCCTGTTTACATTAGGTCAGCCCAGTAAGGGGCTTTAAGCATAATCTACTATCTAGGCTACAGATTTGTGCCTTGTGTTACACTACCTGCTTTTAGTCGATATGTGCAAACACATTGGAGAGATACGCCTTCGTAGGTAAATCAATATATATACTGGGTATAAAGTGCAGAGTTGCGGGTGTAGAGTATCTTGTGCTTTGGACCTATCAGAGCATGCGTCTGCTTGCCGTTATAGGAGTGTACATGTACGCACGCGACTGCTGTTTGTCGGTTGCTTCGAGTGTTCTTCGGTCAACAGAGTGAAATACAAAAGAAGTCTCGTTCCTTGTCTATAACTGTGGTGAATACGTTGTGTAATAACTACGCGTGTCCTCAATGTGAAGTTGACCAACTGTACGTGCCGAGTTACATCTGCACGAATGCACTGTTATGCTGCTGATAGTGACATGCTGTCAATGTACAATGATGACACATAGCTACACTTCATAGATCATGCTCGTTGAACAACGGATCAAAAAGCGTGCGTAAAGGACTGTGTCGCAGGGTGACGAGCTTTTGAGACTGCGTCGATCAGGCCTGCTGCT